AGTCTTAGGCCCTCCTCCACCTGTTTCATTAAGTCTTAGGTCATCCTCCACCTGTTTCATTAAGTCTTAGGTCATCCTCCACCTGTTTCATTAAGTCTTAGGTCATCCTCCCCCTGTTTCATTAAGTCTTAGGTCATCCTCCACCTGTTTCATTAAGTCTTAGGTCATCCTCCACCTGTTTCATTAAGTCTTAGGTCATCCTCCACCTGTTTCATTAAGTCTTAGGCCCTCCTCCATAAGCCACAAAGATGTAAACAAAAAAGGAGACGCAACAACTAAAAATACCAATAAATGACAGAAGATACGACAATAAACAAAAGAAAGTCAACAAAGGGATCTGAACCTCTTTCGTTATAAGGTATAAAGAGGATTCGAACCTATATTTACTTGCTAGTGGAAGGGTTATAAACATATAAATAGTAGTAGTCTCTTTGCCCTATACTTCTGGTAACTGAGAGGTTTAGGGGATTCAGATATCGTATTTAAGAAGCATTGAATCTTATCTTACCAGTAGGAAAGAGTTGATGTTGATACTTTTTAAATAGACAGACAGACAGCAGACATAGGAAAAGGGAGAGAGAAGTGTAGAGAGAGAGAGAGAGAGAGAGAGAGAGAGATAAACAGAAGACCCTCATCAAAATACATGAATTCAACACAAGGTATTAAATCTCTCTCAACATTATCCCCTGGTAAAGTAATCAACACCGTGTATATATATACCTGCACTTTGTACCTGTATCCTTAATTAATCCCATTAAATAAAAGCTCTTTAGTTCTCGCGCCATTAAATACCGCATAAATCAAACATTTTCCCGTAATATGGCATAATGGTGGTGGTTCATTCCTGCTAAATAACGAAAACCCCGAAAAGTAAACTAGAGTTGATTTTTTTTGTATTTTTTTGTTTTCGGTCTTTGTGTTGGAGTCCTTTCAGTTCGTTCCTGTAGTAATGTAATTTGATCGTAGGAAGGGAGAGTTGGAGAGACGAATATTGGGAGGAAGGGGAGTGAGTGTGTGGGAGAGGTAGGGTGTGTTTGTGGGAGAGGTAGGGTGTGTTTGTGGGAGAGGTAGGGTGTGTTTGTGGGAGAGGTAGGGTGTGTTTGTGGGAGAGGTAGGGTGTGTGGGGGAGGGGAGAGAGGTAGGGTGTGTGAGTGAGGTAGGGTGTGTTTGTGGGGGGGGGGGTAGGGCGTGAGTGGGTGTGTAAAAGAAGAGGTAGGGTGTGTTTTTGGGGAAATAGGGTGGGAGTGGGTAAGGTGTGTGTGGGGGGGGGAGTGTAGGGTGGGGTGGGGTGTGAGAGGTGTAGGGTGTGTGTGTGTGTGTGTTTTGTGTGTGTGTGTGTGTGTGTGTGTGTGTGGTAGGGAGAGTGAAAGAGAAGACAGAGGATAGAGTGAGTGAGAGAGAGGGAGAGAGAATTGCAGTAAATATGAGATAGGGGAGAGGGAGAGAATAAAGGGGAGAGAGACATTAAAAATAAAGAGAGGGAGAAGGAGAATACGATTGTTTGTTTACAGAACGTGTGTGTGTGTGTGCGTGTGTGTGTGTGTGCGCGCGCGCTCGCGTGTGTGTGTGTGTGTGTGTGTGTGTGTGTGCATTAGGTATTCATACACTGTACATTATTTACACACAATTTGTACATATTAAAAAATACAGACGTAGTTACATAATAATAATAATAATATTAATAATAATAATAATAATAATAATAATAATAATAATAATAGTTGCCCCTCATGTAACGAGGATGGCCGGCCCAAGGGCCATCTAGGCGTGAATTTGTTTAAGGTGTAAAAGCTGTCGCCAACACAACAACCACACCCTAAGTTAACGAGCTGCATGACCTAGTGTCAAGGAATAGTCCGAGAAGACCGGACAACTCGCCAACTGCACTGGCTAACCATTACCCCGGAACACGATCCACAAATAGATTAACATCCAGGTTCCCAATTACTGCTGGGTAGACAGAGGCAAATGGCGTAAAGAAACTTGACCATAGTTTCACCCTGCCTGGGGATCGAACCCGGGTCCACTCGCTTGTGAGGCGAGCATGCTGACCATTACACCACAGGTCGCTATACATACATACATACATACATGCATACATACAAGTCATTTTGTACACACATGAACCTAAGTCGATGAACGTATCATGTGATCGTCTCTGGGGAGAATCATGACAATGTTTCGTCTCATTGGGGAAGAACTTCTTCTTCTTCTTCTTCTTCTTCTTCTTCCTTGCAAACATCACTTCACGTTCCATCCTTCTCCTCTTCCTCCACCCCTATAAACATTCCCTTTCTTCTCCTTCCTTCTTCCTCCTCTCATCTCTCTTTCCTTCCTTCCTTATCCCCTCCCCCCCTTCTTCCTCCTCTCCTTCCTTCCTTCACCTCTCCCCCTCATCACTGTCTTTTCCCCTCCTCCCTCCCTCCCCCTCTCCTTCTCCTCCCTCTCCCCTCCTCCTCCTTTTCTTCCTTCCATCCTTCCTTCCTTCCTTCCACCTGGACGTCACCTTCAGTTGCGCCCATGAAACTAAATGAACCAAAAGTGTCAACTCACCCGCCAACTGACTAACAGCCCCCGAGGAATTTATTTACGTCGAGGCCAGTGAGTGGGGGGAGTTAGATCTCTGGGGACAGTAGGGGCTGAGTTGAGTGTTAGGACAGTGGGGACTGAGTTGAGTATGGGGACGTGCAGGGGCTGAGAGTTGAATTATTAGGGGACGGTAAGGGTCTGAATTAGATTAGCCAGTGACAGTAGGGGGCTAGGTTGAGTGTGGGGACAGTAGGGCTGAGTTGAGTGTAATGAGGGGACGGTAGGGGGCTGCTGGGGTGGGTGTGTGGGGACAGTAGTGCCAGGGGCTGGGTTGGGTGTGGGGACGATGGGGGCTGGGTTGAGTGTGGGGACGGTGAGGGGCTGAGTTGAGTGTGGGGACAGTAGGGGCTGGAGTTGAGTGTGTGGGGGACGGTAGGGCTGGGTTGAGTGTGGGGACAGTGGGGGGCTGAGTTGAGTGTGGGGACGGTCAGGGGACTGGGTTAGTGTGGGGACGGTCAGGGGACTGGGGTTGAGTGTGGGGACAGTAGGGGCTGGGTTGAGTGTGGGGACGGTGAGGGGCTGGAGGTTGGGTGTGGGGAACGGTGGGGGCTGGGTTGGAGTGTGGGGGACGGTAGGGGCTGAGTTGAGTGTGGGGACAGTAAGAGGGCTGGGTTGGGTGTAGGGGACAGTGGGGGCTGGGTTGGAGTGTGGGGACGGTAAGGGGGCTGGGTTGGGTGTGGGGACAGTGGGGGCTGGGTTGGGTGTGTGGGGACAGTGGGTGCTGGGTTGGGTGTGGGGACAGTGGGAGGCTGGGTTGGGTGTGGGGACTGTTGAGGGGCTGAGTTGAGTGTGGGGACGGTAAGGGGCTGGGTTGGGTGTGATGGTGGTAGTAGTGTCGTGAGGTGGTGGTTGTGGTGGTGTGGTGGTGGAGTGCGTCGTGGTGGTTGTGGTGGTGTGGTGGTTTGTGGTGTAGTGATGGTGGTAGTAGTGGTTTGTGGTGATGGTGTGGTGGTTTGTGGTGTGGTGGTCGGTGCGTCGTGGTGGTAGTAGTGGTTTGTGGTGATGGTGTGGTGGTTTGTGGTGTAGTGATGGTGGTAGTAGTGTCGTGGTAGTAGTAGTGGTTTGTGGTGATGGTGTGGTGGTTTGTGGTGATGGTGTGGTGGTTTGTGGTGATGGTATAAATGATGAAAAAATGGATAGTGTTGGCAGGTAATGAGAGACTGATTTAATTGCAGATAATTACTTGTATGTTAAGAGAGAGAGAGAGAGAGAGAGAGAGAGAGAGAGAGAGAGAGATGATTAAAGGAGAAAGAGAGAAGTGGGGGAATATGAGAAGAATAAGAGAGAGATAGATTAACAAAAAACCTTCATAATATAGCCATCGACAGGACTGCCTTATGAGAGGAAGAATTACATATCTAAGTTAGTCCCCATTTTCTTCTCTAAAGTAATTCCCATTTTCTCTGTTAAGAAAATTCCCGTTTTCTGCCGTCTGGTTAAGGAGGGACTAAAATATTACTCACTGGCTCGCACTCTTAAATTTAATTGCCCCACGACGACAGTGTCTGGCGGTCGTGGTGTTCACTAGACTGTAAAACATTTCTGGGGGTAATTTTGGTGACTGTTGGGCCCTCCCTCCTGCTGTGTTGGTGTCTCTCTTACTGTAATTTGTCTCTCTCTTTCTCTGCAGTCTCTCTCTCTCTCTCACAGCAGTCTCTCTCTTTTTTCTCTCTGCAGTCTTCCCCCGCACCCTCTTCTCTCATTCCTTCTCCCCCTTCCCCTCCTCACCCTCCTTTCCATCTTCCCCCCTTTCCCCTCCTCATCTTCCCTTCCATCCTCCTCCTCCCTTTCCTCCCTTCCCCTTTCATCCCCCTCCTAAGGGCAGAAAATATCTCCTCCTCAAAAAAAAAAAAAAAAATTCCACCTGATAATTTTTTCCCAGGGAGTTAGTACTGTTAAATTCCCATAGGCTCCTTAATGAAACCCTCCGGCGTAAAATAAACTGGAGAAAAAAAAAGTTATATCTCTTTATATCATTTTTGTTCTAGGAATCGTTGGGAAATGTTGTGTGTGTGTGTGTGTGTGTGTGTTCCTTGACTTATAGCTGGTGGTCATTCTCTCTCTCTCTCTCTCTCTCTCTCTCTCTCTCTCTCTCTCTCTCTCTCTCTCTCTCTCTCTCTCTCTCACACACACACACCTCTTAATAACACTATCCTGAGGTGAGTTGTGGAATGTGTCCTCGGGAGTACAATTAAGCTAAGAGTCCAGTTAACAGTCCAGTTAACAGTCCAGTTAACAGGCCAGTTAACAGGCCAGGTATTTTAAATAATGAGTGATGGGTCTTGTGATTGGTGAAGCGTTCTAGTGTGTGTGGTCAGGTTAGGTTAGGTTATACACCTGCCATTACGATTATTATTTGACCTCTCTCCTCTGCCCCAGATTAACTGCTAATGAAGGGTTGTTTGTTTCAGGAGGGCAACAAGGCGTGTGTGTGTGTGAGATGGAGTGGGCGCGGTAGGCGTGGTGTGTGGGCGGGCGGGGGGTGCTCGGGTTGCCCCCCAGCGGGACCTGGGATGCGACTCGGTAAAAGTTACTGTTTGAACGGAGAGGTGCAGCAGGACCCGGCCTCTCCACCTGCCTACGAGGGCGCCGACACCACCACCTACTGCGCCGCCCTTCAGCACAGCGTCAGCACCACGTCCTCCAGGCCAGCTTACGGGCGTGGGGTGCCCTCGTGGAGCGACGGGCGTGGCCGTGGCTCGGGCACCACACCTAATGTGGCCGGAGGATGGTGTGGGGAAGCGGCGGAGACGGGGCTCGGGCCTCTAGACCCCCTCCTGCCGCCCCTCCCCCCGGAGCTGGAGGAGCACCTGCGCACCTGCCGCTGCTCCTGTGACCACATGGGCTACGGCAACTACCAGGAGGGCGCCTCCCCTCACCACGCCTCGGTGAGTACCACTTAAGGCCGGGGTGTTCTGTACTGTCTGTGTTAACTTTCTCTCCTCTCGCTTCCTCACAAACAACTCTTAATAACACGAGGAACTCCCCACCTGCTGACCCACTCTGGTCCTACACGGTCCTTCAGCGGCTCCACCTATGTCTCCCTTAAGGTCACCTACAGTTAACACAGACCCATTATTGTTATTGTCCCCCCCGCCACTGAGAACATATAGTGGTTCAGGTGGTGCCTCCAGGTGGGGACGTCTACTGGCATCTAATTAGTCACAAATACTAACGCTAACCTAACCTCAACACCCCCAGGTAGAATTAGGATGGTTAAGTGAGAAGGTAAAATAAGCTTGGGTGTCTAGTCTCCAGGTTATTCGTGACCGTCCACCTGTACACCTTCACCTGTCTGTACTCCTCCTCAGGTAAAAAGTTTATACCACAACGAACATAAGAAAGTCGAGGCCCAAAAAAGTACACACGGTTAAAAGATACTTTTTGGTGTGTGTGTGTGTGTGTGTGTGTAAATAATAATAATAATAATAATAATAATTAACGGTTTATTGAAAGAGCTTGGCAGCCAGAAGGCTGAAAATATACAGTTACATATTTGGGGAATGGGTTACGAATTACAAATAATATACAAGTGACATAAGTGACACAAATAAGACATATAGTAACTTAGATGGGGATCAGCTCAAAATACAGTTCATTTCAACATAGTGACAGTGTAGGGAGCAGTGTTTACTGGGAGTGAATACACTGATTTATTACATGTTATTGATAATTTTTACAATGGTTGGGACTGGGCTGTTCTTATAGCGATCAGTTCGTGCACGTATGGGCTGGATGCGGTTGTGGTGTCGAACAGCAATTCTCGGACAGGGGATCTCAGGTGGTAGTAGGGGCCGGTGTCGGGGATGGTGTAGAAGCTTCTTACCAAATTTGCAGATGAGGCCGTGGTGATGGTCAGTGAGAGTCGAAAGGGTCAGTGTGTTGAGCGCTTCTTGATATGTGGAGTAGGAAGGGGAGAGAATAATCTTGCATGCCCTCTTTTGCACTTTTTCTAGGTGTTTACGTTGTGTGTGTGTGTGTGTGTGTGTGTGTGTATGTGTGTGTGTGTGTGTGCATAAAATTAATGTGTGTTATAAAGTTTGAGGCTCCCCAAGAAACCCAAGACGGACCTCAACGTGTACCAGTCTTTCCCCTGCAGGAAATTTTCGACGTTGTCATAAGATCAAATATTTTAAGGAAAACCTCCTCCCCATCTTGAGCCAACCAGAAGACGTGTAACTATGGTGGGAAGAGTTATGTTCCCCCTGTAAGAAGAAGCGAGAGTTTAACCCTTTTGAGAATATAAAAAGAAGAAAAAAGGAACAGCTTGACGGGGAAGAGGAGGAAGGAAGGAAGGAAGGACGTAATCAATATGAGGAGATTTTATAACCAAGAGTATAAAGGATTGTATATAAGGGTGAATCCGATCTCTTCTCTGAGGGATAGGTTAAGGGTGTTGGCTCCGTGTTTTATAGGGTTCCGTCCTAAGCTTGTTTTTTCACCCTCTATAGTTTGTGTTGTTGTTCTTTTTTCCCGCAAAATTTGGGAGGGTTGTTTTTAGTTATTTTTTCTTGTTGAGATGAAGTGTTTGTGGCGCGTTTTTTTTTTATAGGTACATGTTCCGTGGCCGGACAGATGGCCGAAAGACATTTGGCCGACGGATATTTGGCCGAACGGACAATAGACCGAACGGACAAATGGCCGAACAGACATTTGGCCGAATGGACATATGGCCTTTTTAATTTTTTTCCTTTCTTCTTTGCAATGTATTTTTTGTATTTTACTAAAGGATAAAAAAAATAAATTGTAATGTAATTGCTTTATAGAAATTACTTCAGTGTTTAATATCTGGTAGTCGTCGGAAACAATCAGCATTATTTTCTCCAATTTCAAGTTAACTTGTGAAATACAAGGACTGAGAGAGGTTTATGTACACAGGGTGACCTTACACAACATGAGGTCAGGTCAAAAACATGACATCCGCTAACCCACACACCAACACCACCACAAACACAAAGGCGACGTAACTAGTCATGTTAAGTCAGGTGAAAAAAATTGTATATCAAGCAAATGTGTCACATTGTAATTATGTTATCATTTTATCCTTTGTTTTATAAAGCAAATACATTCCAAAGAAGAAAGAAAAATAACAAAAAAAATTAAAAAGGCCCTATATCCATTCGGCCAAATGTCCGTCGGCTCGATGACCGTTCGGTCAAATGTCCGTCGGTGAAACGTCCGTCGGCCAAATGTCCTTCGGCCATCTGTCCGGGAGCCACATGTTCGGTGTTTAGGCTCTTGATTACAAAAACAACACAGCACTAACACAACAACAACAACAAAACTATAAAAATAACAGCAATACTACCAATACAACAACAGAACAATAACAACACTAACAAAACAATCACTCGGAATCGAGTATGACGATCATCCAGCTATGATATAATGGTATGAGTTATTAAGGGTGTCACCTTGGTTAGTGAGTTTTGAGGTGACTAGAGAGACCTATACGGGACCGGCAGAGTCGTTCACAGATATTGCACGTGTGGAGGGCTCCATCTAGTGCGGGAGGGGCGGCGGCAGCGTCTTTCCGGCGCTGGTGCTTGTCTGCCTCGGTTTGCATTCGGGCTAACTCGAAAGAATTGACACCTTCTCGTGTGGTGATCCTCCAAGCGTTACGGTGTGGAGTAATCGTCTCCCAGGTGAGGGGGTCGATTTGGCACTTTTTCAGGTTTGTCTTAAGACTATCCTTATAACTTTTCAGTTGCCCGCCAGCGTTACGTTTACTATTCGTTAGGTGACTGTAAAGTAGCTACTTTGGCAGTCTACTGTCGTCCATGCGGGTAACATGGCCAGTCCAACATAGTTGTTCATGGATAATGGTAGCCTCGATGCTCCTACAGTTGCTGTTAGCGAGAATACTGGCATTTGTTCTCTTGTCTTCCCAGCGAACTCGGAGGATGGAACGTAGACTACGTTGGTGAAAGTTTTCAAGTGCCTTAAGGTGCCTCCTGTATGTGACCCATGTCTCACTGCCATATAGCAAGGTGGGGAGGACCACTGCTCGATATACGCGTAACTTTGTAGATAACTTCACCTCCATACAGCTGAAGACACTAATACGGAGTCTGCCAAAGGCTTGAGATGCACATCTGATCCGATGCTGAATCTCTTCATCGATGTCCTCGGTAGTGGACAGGTGGGAGCCGAGATACCGAAAGTGGGTAACAATAGAGAGGGTAGTACCGTTAAGCTGGATAATGGAGGGGTGGCTGAACCAAGGGCGGGCTGAAAGAGAATCTGAGTCTTACGTACATTCACCTCAAGACCGAAGTCTGCATAAGCGTCTGCATAGGTGTTGACTATTAACACCAAAACAACACCACTACCACCAAAATAAAAACACCAAAACAACATCAACACCAACAGCAAAACAACACCAGCAACGTTACCCAATAACAACAACACCACCACGAAAACAACAACACTACCAAATTAATAAAACCCACCAAAATAACAACAACGACAACAAAATAACAACAACAACGCTACCAATACAACAACAACACTATCAAAACAACAATAACACCAGAACAACAAAAACAACATCATCAAAACAACAGCACTATCAAAACAACATCAAAACAACAACAACAACAAACACAACAACAACAACAACAACAACAACATCAAAACAACAACAACAACAAACACAACAACAACATCACCTGTCCCAACTTGAACAGTGAGTAATTACGTCCATCACTGCACCTGACAGAACTCACCTGAGAACTCTGCAGGTTCTAGTGGACTACGACACACCTGGTCTTCACACCTGCCTTACCTGGGCTCTCTCAACACACCTGTGCACTGGACCACCTAAAGATTAGCCTCCCTCAGTAAATTTCACCCGATGATTACACACCCTTACACACACCCATACTGATACATACATACATACATACATACATACATACATACATACATACATACATACATACTTTCATTTTTTCGTATAATACTGTAATATTTATGGTACCTTATGATCTTTCCCTTCCATAACAAAACTATAAATATCTATGAGTTTTTGTAAAGAAGTTGTTGTTGTTGTAGTTGTTGTTGTTGTTGTAGTTGTTGTAGATGATGTTGTTGTTGTAGATGATGTTGTTGTTGTTGTAGAGAAGAGTTTTGCGTCAGTAAGTCAGTCGGTAAAAATGTTGGTAAAAAAAGCAGTTGCATTTATTTAACAAAGACACAAATGTTAAGCACGAAGTTAAAATGAGTTAGAGAGGAAAGAGGGAGGGAGGAGTGAGAGGGAGTGAGGGAGGGAAGAGGGAGGGAGGAGTGAGGGGGAGTGAGGGAGGGAAGGAGGGAAGAGTGAGGGGGAGGGAAGGAGGAAGAGGGGGAGGGAGGAGAGAGGGGGGAGTGAGGGATTGGGAGGGAGGGAGGAGTGAGGGGAGGGAGGGAAGGAGGGAGAGGGAGGGAGGAGTGAGGGGGAGGGAAGGAGGAAAGGGAGGGAGGAGTGAGGGGAGTGAGGGAGGGAAGGAGGGAGGAGGAGGGGGAGTGAGGGAGGGAAGAGGGAGGGAGGAGAGAGGGGGAGGAGGGAGGGATTGGGAGGAGGGAGGAGAGAGGGGAGTGAGGGAGGGATTGGGAGGAAGGAGGAAAGAGTCAGGAGGGACTGGGAGGGAAGGAGGGAGGTGGAAGGAATGAGAAGAGTAAGGGGAAGGAAAAGGAAGGAAAGAGGTGAAGGAGGATTAAAATATAAGAGAAGGAGGAGGAGGGGGAAGACAGGGAAGAGAAGGAAGGTAAGGAAGAGGGAGGAGTAGAAGTTAGGGAAGGAGGGGAAGAAGAGAGGTGAGGTAAGGAGAGAGGAGGGAAAAGTAAGAGGGAAAGGAAGAGGGAGAAGGAAGGAGTAAGGGGAAGGAAGAGGGAGGAGGGAGAGAGG